CACCCGCGGCGCGCGGCGACGCCCAGCGCGTGCTGCACCAGCGCCTGCTCCAGCTGCGCCGCCGCGCCCACCAGGTAGTACCAGCCCCAGCCGGACGACTGCGCCGCCGCGGCGAAGTCGAGCAGCCCGAGCTCCGCGCCGATGTGCGCGTGCGAGCGCCAGATGCGCGCCGCGCCGCTGCCGCTGCTGCGGCCTTCCTCGTCGAACTCCGGGCGCCGCCCGACGTGCCGCAGCAGGCGCGGCTCCGCGCCGCGTGGCGTCTCGTCGCTGGTCAGGTTGGGCAGCGCCAGCGCGAGCGCCTCGACCTCACGCCGGGCGTCCGCCTCGGCGCGCACGATGCCCGCCAGCTCCTCCTTGACGCGCCGCGCGTCGGCGCGCAGCTCCTCCCGGCTGAGCGCTTTCAGGTCCCCGAGCGTGCTGTCGTCGGTCAGCGTCGCGGGGTTGGCGAGGACCCGCCGCAGCAGGTTGGCGCGCTCGCGCAGGCCGCGCCCGCTGTGCTGCAGCTGCACAAGCTGCTCGCTGAGCGCGATGATCTTGGCCGGGTTGCCGGCCTGCGACTCGTATAGCCGCTCCCGGCACGTCGTCTCGTACAGCTCCGGGTTCTGGCGGATGTGCTTGATGTCCAGCGCGGGCTTGGGGCCGTTGGACGGGCGCTTGGCGGCAGGGGCGGAGGATGTGTAGCTCCTATGTGTCGCGGGCCGCGTCGCGAGCTTCGGCGACGGGCAATGAAGCCGCTTTATTAATCTTTGCATGGTGGGCGCTGATGTCTGTGTGTTTGCTCAAGTTGGTTGAGGTTGAAAGTTGGAGATGAGCTGACTTGGCATGGAGAGCTTTTATGCAATTAGCCGAGTGTGGTGGCTAAGAACGTTATCACAGCCAACGAGTTGACAGAATTACTACAGTAGAAATTCAATTAGATGAATTTGACTTGACTTGACTTGCTCATTTATTTCTTTTTACTATGGATACTATTTTGATCAGTATCGCTCAGCGGCTGTATGTCAACAAAACCCCTTGGTATCTACTAGACCAACAAGAACTGTGCTCATATAGAGCCCCAAGTTCCCAACGTCCAATTTACATGGTGCCCACCGCTTGCTCTTATCAAACCGCCGGCTCCCATACTTTGCCTCTGCTGCATTTTCATGTCCACATCACCGGCCCGCGATGCTCCGCTAGCGCCCTGTTGCAACCAGAGTTCCCTGTCGACGGTCGCCATGGCAGGAATCTTGAGTTGGCATAGCAGGCTTGCACCAGTCCAAGGCCCCAGGGAGTGAAGCACGCGCAGCTGTCCTTGGAACTGGGGCAGGACTTTCCGATTCCTTGCTAGCTTTGCCTCAATGGCATCCTCTTCGGTCTGTGTAGCGATGGAGCTTGGTCGGGATCGGGATCGCTCCGTATCGTCGCTCGACTCTGAAGGAGCGGGCGACTCGACAGAGCGTGAGATGGCACTGCTGCGACGAATTTGTGTACTATTGCGTAAGCGATCGGCGCCCTTGCCGGTGACTGGAGTCCAGCCGCGTTTGTCAACGATGCTGGCAACCTCATCGACCAGCCGCTCCTTGATGCCCAGGATGTTTGAGCAGCCACCTGTGAACATGATGCGAGACATGCAAACAGCTCTAACGTCGAGTGGTAGCTGAAGTAGATGCTGATACACAAGCCAGTGCAGAGGAAGCTCATGATCGTCAAAGGACGATGGGTTGGCCGAAGGATCAAACATGGCGTCGTCGCAAACATCTGCCAGCTTCTCGAACGACACTTCGATGTTCTCTGGCGGCGAGGCTGACCGCAGCGGAATCCTGGCGTCTCCTCGTGGGTGAGATGCATCCATCTCTGTTTCGTCTTGCTCTACCACAGTGTCCAGCTGCGTCGACTGTCTTTGTGTTGATTTGTATGCTGCGCCCCTGCACCACATCAGTCGACACATGATGTCTTCGCATTCGGAGAAGGTGATGACATGGTCGGACTCGCGTGATTCTTGCTCGTCCTCCTTCCCAGTGATGACTTTGTGCAATAACTTGTAGGTTTTGTTCAAAAGACTCCTCCCTCCTCGTATACTGCGCGTGCACTTGACCTCACGGTATTCGTAGACGCTCGTGACAACAGTTTCGGACCAGCCCATGTCAATGACGAGTGCTGAGCGGACGCCTGCCGCAACGGTTGTCATTGTTGGCGAAGCCAGCAAGGAGATGAGCGGTGCCTGGAATTGGGTAAAGAGAACATCGAGAACGGCTGATAAAAGCGGTATAGGGACGGCAGAGTCTAGCACCAGGCCAGCTCGCCGTGGCCGCGAGTCAATGAGCAGAAGTCTATGTGGGAATTAGCGCTCGTTTGTCTGAGTTCCAGCGACCAAATCGCATACCGGGTGAAGGCATCGCGCAACACTCTCTCCAGCTTATCCTGGAACAAACCGAGATCGAAATCTCGCAGGTCGTAACGCCAGATTTCATGATCAGATGCCCAATGCGCTCCTGGCGCTTCTGACTCGGTCCACTGACTGAAGTCGCCAGCGCGCCGCTGGTCTCGCGGCCCGCTCGACAGCACGGCCTTGGGGACGTTGTCTCCGGCAAAGCCCACGCGAATATGCCGAGACCCGATTTCTATGAGCAGGAAGTCATCGTCTGCGCGGATGGTGGCCGGCGAGCCGTACGAGCCTGAGATGGCGCGCGGCGGTGTATGCGGCCCTGAGGATGTTGATTGCTGGCCTGGAGCGGATCGGATGTTGGAGACGCTCCTGTGAGGCAGGGCCGGGCCGTCTCCGGATGCCATGAGGCCGAATTTGACGTGGCGGGCTTGCGTAGGGGTGATGAGAGGAATGGAGAGCTTCAGTGGTTTCAATTTCACTGCCACCGAAGTAAGGAGGTTGTCTGTTAAGGATCGCCTGGCGTAATAGTGATGCCGCTACCAGTGCAGCTAGTATCTGGAGCCTGCAAACGCCCGCAGCTCAGCGGATTCGGCGCTAATACTAATACTACTGATTTTATATTTATTAAATTTTAACTAGTTATATCATTATATTTAACTTAGCAAAATAAGTAAAACTACACTTATACTTATCTTTATAAAAAAGCCTAATAGTATTTTTTTTTATTTAGAACTTAGTAGGTATTGGAGTCCCTATCAGGAACTAGTAACTAAACTATAAAGCCCACAGCAAGCAAACTTGAATCACTCACGACGGACTCTTGTCTGTCTCGGCCATTTTCCTCTCGACGAATGAATCCATTGCCGCCCGGGTCTGCTCAATCAAAAGCCCCAGCCTCGCGGTCCATCTGTCTCGCGGTCCGGATCTCCCTCGACTGGCCCGAAAAAGCGGCCATCGAGCTCCTTCCAGTACACGCAGTCAAACGCAAAATTCTTGCGCGCGGCGTACACAGCCCAGAAATCCCCGCTGGCCCAGCTCGCTCCCGTCTTGTCCGACAGCCGCTGGAGCTCGCCAAGCTTCCCCGCGGCGATGGCGGTATCCTCGCACATTGCAATGGCCTCGAGGAACACGGGCAGCCGGTTTTTGTATGCCTCGGTCCAACTGTCTAGGCCCTCCTTCCAGTACTCGGGCTGCTCAAGGAGCAGCCACCATGGTGGTGCAAACGTGGATTTGTTGGGCGCGGCGTAGCTAAACTCCCAGTCAATCACGGCGACGATCTGGTAGTTGGCGTCGAGCAGAATGTTGGATGGCCGTAGATCGTCACACCACAGCTTGATAGGGCCCTGGTCGTGCGAGGGGGCGAGGAGCCTGTTTTCGCGCGCCAGCTTCTGGAAGAGATGTCGGGCGACGTATTTGGCTCGCAATCGGCCTTGGAGCTCATGGCATCGTTTCGCTGCGAGTCAAGATGATCAATGTGTAAGGCACCAGACTCTCAAGGTATGCATGCAAACGAGCTGCGGAAGGGGGTCGTTGACAATTTGCTCTGTGGTAATGTGCCAATTCGGACCTACTCATTCATAGGTAGAAAGTGATAGGGGCCGGCCAGTTACACCCCATGCGCACTCTTTCGTTTCTTCAAGAGCGCCTATAAGAGGGAACTCTAGTTTAGAAAGCTGGAGGAGTATGTTTGCCACCTGCCCATACAAAGACTTAAGTCTTGCCTTGTCGACATCTGGGTTTAATATAGGCCGGTCGTCTCTTGTGAGGCCAGGCGTATTAAGCGCTTCAATCATGTCCATGTCGTGAGTCACGTACTCCAGAATGATAAAGGCACCGATGTTGAGCGGGCTCTCCTCCCGGGTACCCCAGTGATGGACAAAAGGAACAGGAATCGTAGTGTTATCCTGAATGTATCTCATCGTTGCTACCTCTTGCTTTATCTTTTCCTCCGGAAACATAGTGGACCCTGGTTTTGTAAAGCGTATCACGGCCGAGCCACCGTCGATGAACTTGATCCTGAATAAGGCGTTAAAGCCGCCCGCCTTCGGTTCGCATAGCTCCGTGGGAACTCCCTGACGGTGTTTGGCAATGAATCGGCCAATAGCCCTCAGCGTTGATTCCTCGAAAAGAGAGTGCCGCCAAACGCGCTCACTGCGCTCGCTCTCTTCCCAGGCGACATCGTCGCCTTTCATCGCCATCTTGGTTAGTCGAGGTTTGGGGTGGGGGCTGTTTTTCTTCTTGGTGAAATGCACTGGAAGCGCAATCAAAACATGGAGATTTGAGGGGAGAAGGGCAAAGTGAAGATGCCATGCTGGTTTTCGAACACTGAGGCTCTGTTGCCTGGGCGCTGATTATCATCTAGTTATCATCCCTTTGACTGTGGAGGAGGAGCAAACAGTTAACTTGCAGGGATTCGGTCCAACCAGGTATCTCAAAAATCTAGGTACTTTCGCCAGCAGATAAATTGGCCTGACTGGGAGGTACTGTGGCGCATGCGAGTACCAGGCTTTTACTTCCTTCCTAGGCCACAGCGTTTGCCTGAACGACGACCACACCCACTGTACAGGTAAGCAATTCGTGAATGCCTTTGACTAATAATATTTCCAGTTCAAAGCCCATGTGAGCTGTAACGGCCTGCACGTGTTAGGAGGCAACTTTGCTCAGACTCGCTAGGTCTCTTTATCTCTTCATATGCAATGGCCATGGCGGTTAGCGGCCGACTCCACGGTGGCTACGTAGGTCCCTACAGTACCTAGTAATTGTTACCAGAGTAACGCGGGGCAGTTGTCACAGTCACCAACTTATTTACTGGGCAAGTTAGGTAACTATACAACGACAATTCACGGTGCGCAGTCGACGCACATTCGCTGCCAATCATGGCAATTGTGCTGATATGATTTGTTGATGGGTATTAAAGGGTATGCCGCTTCTCATACGCACCATTTCCCCAATTCTAACCGCATCAGAATCTACGGAGAGCTTGGCTATGGACAGCGCGTGTCGCTGTCTAAACTCGCCGCTGACACGCTCAAGGCAGAGGGCCGCCCACTGCGACTTGCCATCGACGTCGCTATTTGGCAATTCCAAGCCCAGGCTGCAAAAGGTACTTTCCAAGTACAAGTGATAGCATGACTGCATCCGTCTGACCAGCCAATCTAGGCGGCACGAACCCTGCCATTCGAACACTCTTCTACCGACTCGTACGATTGCTCGCCATCCCCGTCCAACCAGTATTTATATTCGACGGCCCAAACAAACCCACCACCAAGCGAAACAAAAGATCCGGTCGCGGTGATGGCGTTGCCAACTCACAGGCCAAGCGCCTCATTCGCTTATTCGGCCTGCCTGCTCTGGATGCGCCGGGCGAGGCCGAGGCAGAGTGCGCGCTGCTCCAACGGCACGGCATCGTGGACGCGGTCCTCAGCGAAGACGTCGACACTATCATGTTTGGCTGCACCAAGACATTGCGAAACTGGTCCTCGGAGGGCAAGACGTCCAGCGCGCCTACGCACGTCTCGCTGTACGACACGGCTGCCGTGGCCAATCACGGCCTGGACAGGCAGGGCATGGTGCTCGTCGCCCTGATGAGTGGTGGCGACTATCTACCCTACGGGATCCCTGGATGCGGCATCAAGGTTGCGTGCGAAGCTGCCAATGCTGGCTTTGGCAGCTCCCTCTGCAGCCTCAAAACCTCTGACAAGGAGAGCATCGACGCTTGGCGAGCTGAGCTGCGCCAAGAGCTCGTTACCAACGAAAGTGGCCACTTCCGAACAAAGCACAAGAGCTTGCATATCCCCGACGACTTTCCCAACATGGAAGTCTTGCGATACTACACTCACCCGGTCGTTTCTCCGCAGCACAACCTGGAAGCGATTCGACAAAGGGTACTGCAACATAGGAAGGTTGATCTGGAATCTCTTCGCGAGTTTTCCCGTGAGACCTTTGGCTGGGATTACAAAGAAGGCGCTGTCAAATTCATCCGGGTGCTGGGTCAAGCGATGCTCGTCCAAAACCTGCTGCAGTCGCGCAACCTCGTCCAGGACATTTCAAAGCGCCGGACTCACTTTAGCACCGATGCCACCCCGGAATTGCGGTTGTCATATATACCCCAAGAGGCGGTCCCGATCGACTTGTCGACAGAAGTGGCAGAGGACATCAACTATGGGAGGGATGGGCTCGCCCTCAACAGCGACGACGATTTTGCCCCCTCGCAGGACGCGGCGGCGGCCAGGACGCCGCAGCCCTTTGACGTGACCACACCCGAGCTTGCTTGGGTTCTTGAGAGCGTCGCGCAGCAGTACGCTCCTGAATCAATACGAACGTTCGAAGCAGCAGAGGCGGCCAAGGCGCTTCGAAAACCGCCCCAGAAAAAGGCGCCCTCCAAAAAGCCGTCCAAACCTGTCAAGGACGCTGGCATGCAGAAGAGCGCCATTGACACTTTCTTTCGGATCACCAAGAAGTCGGACCCGAGTATACAAAGCGTCGCGAAGGAAAAGTCGCCGCCGCGACCGCGAAGAAACATACCCTCGTCTTCCATTGATGCCATCGTAACACAGTCCCAGGAGCTGCCTCCGCTACTCCGACTGCCAAGGACGCCTCCCCGATCTCAAAGTAAGCAGACTGGCGCCTCGGCTACGAGCAGCCCGGACAAGGACGCAGCCCGCTCACACATGCCGCCTAGACCCTCCCAAAGCGCTGCCTATTCCGAAGCCATTGTTATCTCGTCCAGCCCTCCCCACCACGCCTCGCCACCCTCGTCTACAGCAGCATCCTGCTCTCAGGCCCCTGCCTCACAGCCTGCGGCGGATGCTGGCCCCGTACATCCGCAGTCTGCCGCGGCTGCTTCGTCGTCGAAGCTAAACGGTGCGCCGAGGCAACCACAGAAGCCGGCAAAGGCTGCAGCATCGAAGTCGGCTCCCAAGTATAAGCAAACCTCGTTGGACGTCCTTACCTCCCGCAAGACTGCGGAGCCCAGGTCTAAGGAGCCGCCTTTGTCTTCTCTCACAAAGAAGCCGTCGTTTGACAACCCGTTCGATGCCGATTCCTCTCTACCATCTATATCGGAGATGAGATCCCCAGAGCCCTCGTCGCCCAGCAAGCGCCGGTCTCAAGAGAGCCGGGCTGCCGGCGGCGGCGGCGGCGGCAGCCCCACGCCGTCGCGGAGGAAGAAGCTGCTCGTCCCCGGCGCCGCGGGCACGCTGCGCGAGGTCGAAGTCGACGTCGACGAGAGGGACGAGGTCATTGCCCGGTTTGCCGCGTCTACCAAAGGCAACAGCAAGGGCAAGGTGCTCCGGCTGAGCGACATCTCCGTCATCGATCTTACGCAAGAATAGCAAACATGTATATATAATAAGCATAATGACATTTATAGCGTGGGAATCATCACCTGTACAATTTTGTATCATGAGAAAAGGGACTAGGGGGAGGAAGGAATGATGAATCCAGTATACAATATTTATTGGTATCTTATTTCCAAGTTTTACAACCCGTCAGCAAACCAATGCTGAAAAATTATCTAGATGAATCTTTTTTACAAAGACTTGAGCGCCATGAATGCAATGCCGATTTCCCTTGTTCCCTTTTCCCGCCTTCACGCCTTGTCATCCCCATCCTCCATGACCACATCCGGGTCGACCTCGGTGCCCAGGTCCCTGTCTTCGAGGAAACGTCGCCCCACCAGCTCCTCTGGCAGGTAGGTCTGCTTGACGCGGCCGTCGCGGTAGTTGGGCGGGTACTTGTAGGCGGCGCCGCAGCCGAGGTCGCGCATGAGGCGCGTCGGCGCGTTGCGCAGGTGCAGCGGGACGGGCAGGGCGGCGACGCCGGGCTCGCGCAGGGCGGCGTAGGCGCTGTTGAGCGCGCGGTAGGCGCGTGTGCTCTTGGGCGCGAGGCTCAGCGCGACGGCGCAGTGGGCGAGCGGGATGCGCGCCTCGGGCATGCCGATCTGCTGGGCGGCCGTGTAGGCGGCGGTGGCGAGTGGCAGCAGCGCGCTGTCGGCGAGCCCGACGTCCTCGCTGGCGATGACGACCATGCGGCGGGCGATGAACAGGGGATCCTCGCCCGACTGCAGCATGCGCGCGAGGTAGTACAGCGCGGCGTCCGGATCGCCGCCGCGGACGGACTTGTGGAAGGCCGAGATGGTGTCGTAGTGCTGGTCGCCGGCGCGGTCGTAGACGAGCGTCTTGGTGAGAGAGGCGCGGAGCATGTCGCGCGTCATGTCCGACCGCGTGGTGAGCGACAGCGCGAGCTCGAGTAGGTTGAGCGCAGTGCGGGCATCGCCGTCGGCGAAGCGCGCGAGGTAGCCCAGCGTTTCATCATCGACGAGCTCCGACGGCGGGTAGGCGCCGGCGGCGACCTCTGCGTCACGCGCGCGCCGCAGTATGCCGACAATGTCGTCGGCGGCAAGCGGCTGCAGCGTAAAGGTACGGCAACGGGAGAGCAGTGCGTGCGCGACGCGGAAACTCGGGTTCTCGGTTGTGGCGCCGACGAGGGTGACTGTGCCGGCCTCGACAGGCCGTAGGAAGACGTCCTGCTGGGCCTTGTTGAAGCGGTGGATCTCGTCGCAAAAGATGACGGTGCGGCGGCCGGTCAGCGCAAGGTCACTCGCAGCTTCTTGGAAGAGGCGCTTGCACTCAGCGACGCTCGAGCTGGTGGCGTTGATCTCGACGAAGCGGCGGCCGGTGGCAGCGGCGATGCACCGCGCAATGGTGGTCTTGCCGGTGCCGGCGCCGCCCCAGAGGATCATGGACGGCACGCGGTCAGAGTCGATGAGGGCGCGCAGCACTCCGGAGGGGCCGACGAGGTCCTGCCCACACACGTTGTCAAGCGTCGCGGGGCGCATGCGCTCGGCGAGCGGCGCGGCCTTGTTCAGCTTCGTGCGCTTTGCCAGCTTGCCGTGTTCCTCATCGATGGTGGCGGCTGGAGCTGTCGTTGTCGTCGTCGTGGGGCCGGCGTCGACGGGTTGCTGCTGTGTCGCCCCGTTTACGTCGCCGAACCGTGGCCGGGGTGCGCTGACGTTGGAGTCGCTCGCTCCAGGGCCCTCTTCGAAGCTTCGTTTCTTGCCGACGAGCGGCACCGGCGTCGCAGGTGGTGGTTGTGTGGTAGTCCCATTCTGCTGGAGTCGTTTCGGGGCGGGCGTAGAGAAGAAGCTCGAAGCGGTGCGCTTCTGTGTCGTCGGAGGGGGAGGTGGCGGCTGCTGCGAGGCGGCGTCGGTCGAGGGCGGCGTCGTCTTGTCGACGATGAAGCTCACGCAGTTAGAGTCGATGTGGTTATTGATTTCGGAGGGCTTGACGGGCTTGTTGCATATTGGGCAGTCGACAGACATGTGCGAATGGGAAAGCGATGGAAGACAGAGGTATGGTATAGAGGCTATTGAGTTGAAGACGGGGTGTGAGGAGTGAAGACGCAATTGCAGGTTGTATGTATGGATAGGTGGTGATGGAAAAATTAACTGGGCACTTGGGGAACGCGTTTAAGTGGCAAGAGAGCGCGTTACTGTCGCTGGAATCGGCGGCTGTGGCGGGGGTGCCGGGGGGGGGGGGGG